ATATGTCTCTTTCCTCCTACTGTAATAATTAACTCAGTCATTTTTGTTGTATCAGTATTGAATCGTGAATTTTTATCTCTATACCTGGGGTTGTTAGCCAGAACTATTTTGTTACTTAAGCTGTTCCAGTTTTGACCATTGGGGTATTGGGAACTCTTCAAATTTTCTCTTAGACCCCTTTGACATACTTGCATCAATGTGGCTGTTTTGTTTTTTGGGTTTTGGAGGAGTGCTTCCTTACTTTCTGGCACTATCTGATGGTCCAGGCTTGTCTTATGAATTTCCTTTCTCCCTTTCACAAAACAGAATCAGCCTTTTCTCCTTAGAAGCAGGTGTTTCTTTGTTGTTGTTTTTATTTTGTTTTGTTTTTAAATAATAAAATTGAGGAGAGAACTACATAAGAATGAAAGCAAGTTGGCATGCCCCTCCCACCTCTCTTACCTTCTGAACTTGTTGTTTAACTAGTCCTTAGCTGTCAGAGGATCTCTTCACTTTTTTAGCTCAAGGCTAATGATTTAATGTCATTTTGATTGTCTTTTTCATGTCATGAACTTGGACTCGTGAGTGTTGCTTATGTCCTTAGCCACTCAGTCATGTCCAGCTCTTTGCAACCTCATGGAATGTAGCCCCCCAGACTCCTCTGTCCATGGGATTTCCCAGGCAAGAATACCGGAGTGGGTTGCCGTTTCCTTCTCCAGCGGATCTTCCTGAGCCACGGATTGAACCTGCGTCTCCTGCGTCTCCTGCATTGCAGGTGGATTCTTTACCCGCTGAGCCATGAACTTGGACATTTGTACCTAATTCAGAGTTTCCAGGTGACTTGGAGTACTTTGGCTCTGATCCGTCCAGGATCAGGGGTTTTTCATCATCTATAATTGAAATCCCTTTGAGAAAGCAAATCAAGGATTTTGACTTATCCTATATTTCTCTTTGAGAAAGAATGGCTCATTCTCCTCAGAATGAGGGGAATGACTAAGTACATTTGATTTTACAAATTGTATTTTTTATAGCATAAGGAAGAAATTCTTCCTAGCCTTTCTCTTAAGTCTTTTTGTACATCCTAGGGATAGCATCAGGGTGACAACTTGAGAAATATTGAGTTGGCCATAAGATGGTACAGAAAAACCTGAATGAACTTTCTGGCCAAGCCAGTACTTGATATAAGACTGTTAGTTTCCTTACTGCTCTGGTCCTGACTATTTTTCTAAACTCCTACACATTTAGAGTCAGAAGTTGAGGTCCTATGGCTCAGTGTCTGAGGCTGATGTGGACTTCTCTCTGCACTGAGATTCTCTCATAATCTGTTTAGGAACAGTGGGTGGTTCTGCATGCTACATTTTCTGCAGCCTAGTAGGGACTAGTAACCATAAGGGTTTTGAGGTTAAAATAAATGCCAAACTGACTTCATTTAGTTTTAATTGCAGAGGAGTCTAGATTAGCAGAGGAAAGAATATCAGATCCTAGTACCCAAAGATCTTTATGCATAGAACCAGATTAACATAAATGCTATGTATAGAAATAGTTGGAGTAGTTAATTCTTGGATAATATCATTAGCAAACTGAACTATACATTTTCAAACGTCTTCATTCTTTTCGAAAATGCTTTCACAGATAACGCCTTAATGAAGGTATGGGTTTTAGAGGCGCAGTGAGGTGGATAATAATGCTTTTCCCCTTCATCAGATTGTTCTTTGAGCCACAAAAATACTGAGTTCACATATCAAAGAATCAGTGACAGAAAGCAGTTTGCTCCTTCACTTACACATACATGCAGTATTGTTGAATGCCTCCTTTAGCAGTGCAGACCTTGCCAAAGATTAAACGACCATTGGTTTATCCTAACTATTAGCTCCTTGCCGTTAATGTCGTATCAAGCACTTACAGGCTATGAATCTCTTATCCCTATTGAATAAGTGAACGAGTTGAAGTCTTCCTTCCTGTGTTTTGATGCTTGCCTGCTCTTTGTCTTTTCCAGTTTCTCTCTTGATCATCTTTATCTTAACCCACTGAAGACCATGATCACCCCATTAATTAAAATTCAGTTTCTCTCTACAGAATAACAACCCCAAGGATTATTGACTTAAAGTAGGAGTTTAGTTTTTTTTTCCTCATATTCTACAGAATAACAACCCCAAGGATTATTGACTTAAAGTAGGAGTTTAGTTTTTTTTTTCTCATATAAAAGAAGTCTGGAGTCAGGCATTGAAGTGCTGGCACAGAGGTTTCATGGAGTCATCAGGGACTCAGGCTCTCTCAGCCTGTTGTCTTTGTTCTTTGCATCCTAGGTGGCTGCTAGACTGTTGTTCATCCATCAGTCTTGCTCCAGATGGCAAGATGACCCCCCCCCCCCTTAAGCAGACTCCCTAAAAGTAACATATTAGGCTCCTCTATACATTTTCTTGGCCAGAGCTTAGTGCTGTGACTACGTTTTGCTGGAGAGAATCTAAGAGTTTTTCATCTGGACAGTAATATGCCCAGTAAAACAAAAAAAGCCAGAAAGTCAAAGCAAAAACCAAAACCGAAACCACAAAAGCCCCTCAGGATTCTGTTGTTGAATAAGAGGAGGAGGAATGTTGTGCAGTAATCACTGGTTTTTGCTACTATCGTTCACTCTGATGCAGCCCAAAGATGCCTCCTGGCTTCCCCTCACCTCTGGACAAGTGATTTTGCCAATTCTCCAACCAGCCATCATCACCATCTTGTTTACACTGACTCCTGTTTCAACATCCCAGAATGGGTGGAAAAAGTCCTGAATTTGAGACAGATCTGATGTCCTGTGTCTGCTAGTTGATCCCAACTGAATTCCTGTTTTTAAACCTGTGGATATTTAGCTCCTGTAGTCCATTTCTTGCAGCAGTTATTTTCAATGTCCATTCGACTTTCATATTTTTACTTTGTTGTTGTTTACTTTCTTAGGAGGAAATCAGTCATCCTCTGCCTTTATCTCAATTTTGTGTATCACTGTGATAGTCCATCCTTTGCTTCAGTCTCCATAAGTGTTTTTATCAATAGTATGTAAGCCTTTGGGGCGGGGGGGGGGGGGGGGGGGGGGGGGGGGGTGTGGTGGGTATGTTAATTCCCAAAGGAGACTACTTTGTGCTCTATAAATACCTCTTGAATGAATGAATGAATCCTTTCCCTTCTCTCTCTCACTTCCCTCTTCCTAATTAGAATACAATATATTTTATATTTAAAATACTTTCTCTGGACTTTGCTGCCTTTTTCTCCCCCATTTCTCACAGTTCACTTTTTTATGTAAGAAGAGGCATCTCAGTTTTCTCATTTCTTGTTCTCTTTACTGTCCTCTGAATTTTCAGACTTTTCTTTGACATTTTCGCCCCCTTGTTAGCCTTTTCTCATTGTCTAGTCTCTTTGATGCTGCATTATTGATGCCACATTCTTGGAAATACTCTTAGTTCTTTTACCTTTGTAGCTGTTTCTTCTATATTTCCTTTATTGACGTCCTTCTGCTCTGTAACACTGAACAAAATATGACGATTTATGTTTGCAATTTGTTCTTTTCTCTCTGCCCTTGCTTTGCAGTATCTCAGCTGCGTGTCTGCACTTTGACCTTCATCTGTCATCTCCATTTGTCTGATCCTCTTGTATATATAAATTGGTTTTACTACTCATTTCTGCATCACTCTTAAATACTTCCTGGATGCCAGGACTGAAATTTCTCTGTTATCATAAAGAGCATGTGTAAAATGTGGAATCTTAGGATACATGTCTCAGGTGCCCATCATTAGGATGTTGCCGCCTAAACTTTCCATGGTAACAGTCCTACTGGCCAAAGATAGCAGCTTCCTGTGGGTTGTCTTTTCTGTCTGGAATGCCCTTTTCTTTGTTCTTTCTAGCTCTCTCTTTAAGATCAAGTTCAGAGATCTGCATATCACCAAGATTTCTAGGATGCCACTAGACTTTACTGACTTTCTAGGCTTTGAACTTCTGCCACATTCATTTATCTGTTACCTGGCACTCCTCCTATCCTTGTGTTGTACTGTAGGTGGAATAAATCGTCTTTATTATAAATGTCTTATCTTGCAGATACCCTGTAATCTTATTCCTCTTCATACTCCTAGTGCTCGATATATAATCGGCACTTAATAACATTTGCTGTGGATGATGGCATCCCCTTTTCATTTCCTTATCTTGTTCCATTTCTAACACTGAGATTGCTTAAAAACACAATTAATTTTTCTTATCACCAAACAAACATTTCTTTTCCATAAATGAAATGAAATGCTCGGACTGAGCTGAATGACAGATTTTCAGCCAGCCTTATTGTGTTCTGCTTTGCACTTTTTAGAGTACGTTATAAAAGGCTTGAAATGATTGTTGGAGAAGTAACTTTTCTCCATCTTTCTTGGTCTTTTGAGTGTCATCTAAAAAGTGGGAATAAAAGAGTCATGAAAAGAGCTTGTAGGATTTTGGGGAAATAAAGTTTTCCATAGGTGAGTTCAAGTGGGGCCAAGGGAGAGATTGAGAGGGAAAGAGAGACTGTGACTGAATGAGGATGAAAATGCATGTAAAAGGACACACCCATTAGACCCAATCAGCTTGGCAGACATTGAGGTGATATCAAATAGCCACGTAGAAGGGTACTTGTGGCAAAGTGGTGTGTATATCATAAGGATAAGAATTCAAATCAGGGGCATTTTTGCTGTGCACCCCTACAAAAAGAAGCATTTGTTGTTGTTGTTCAGTCACTAAGTTGTGTTCAACTCCTTACAGCTTCATGGACTGCAGTTGTTTTTATGATGAACTATATTTTGATAATAAATTCCTCAGCAATACAGTGATGTGACAGACACATGGAATAAAGTAGATCCAGTTAACCTACGGTGTCTTTTAAAATCCAGGTATAAGAAATCAGCTGCGATTAAAATTTAGCTCTGTGTAGACTGAAAACCTAAACTAATGAGTACGATTCCAGACTCAAATTAGGCAACACAAGACTTAACTTCATTTGTTTACTTGGTTTTGCTTTTTTCCCATAGGGAGTTTGAAATACTGCCTTGTGATTCTGAACCAGCCTTTGGACAAATGTTTTCGTCATCTTTGGCACAAAGGTAACCTTAATTAGCATTCATGCTTCTTTGCTTTCTTACTCTCCTTTGGACTAATATGACGGTTAAGTATCCCAGAAGCCAGCTGGAATACTAAAAAGTGGAATTTATAATATGCTGATTTACTTATTGAGTTATCAGAAGATGTTATTATTGCTTCTCTGCTAATCTGTTTGTACACGTGGTTTCCAAGGAGTGAACCTCCAAGGACAGAATTATAATATAGCATCACTCTACTGTATATCATAACTATTATGTGGATGTTTGTACTAAGTACTTACAAGTGTTTGTTCAAATGTAAATCTTTTTGGCTCCAGTGACAGCAAAAAACCTCCACAAGCCTCACTCATTTCAGCATTCAGTAATTAGATTTCTTCAGGATGACAGGAAGATATTACCAGTATATTAGAATTTCTAGGGGTGCAGAAAAATATAGTTAAAAATGGAATATTTTTACCAAATTAGGCTTCTATGAAGTTTCATGTAAGAAATAGGCTTTATTAACTCTTCTACATTATTCTTTGATTTTTATAGAATTAACTCAAGAAAGTGGTATTAAATAGCATTTGCTGTTTTGGACCTCTGTTCTTCTTTAATGAAGTCTTGTTTTTTTTTCCCTAAGGAATACTTTTTTTTTTTCATTTGTTTTTATTAGTTGGAGGCTAATTACTTCACAGCATTGCAGTGGGTTTTGTCATACATTGACATGAATCAGCCATGGATTTACATGTATTCCCCATCCCGATCCCCCCTCCCACCTCCCTCTCCACCCGATTCCTCTGGGTCTTCCCAGTGCACCAGG